GCACCGATGAAACATATAACTTTCCTCTGGGTACTTAATACTTTCTCCCCACCACTATCATGACCCTAATTCTCCCTTACAAATCTGGCTAGATCAGAGCATGTACAGGGGTACAGATAAGAGCTGGAAACACAGGGAATCTAGGACAGATAAACTCCTTGGGACCAATATTGAGAGTAGCCATACCAGGAGGGGAAGGGGACGGTGAGGAGAGAAAGGGAGACTGATCACAATGACCTACCTATAACCCCCTCCCAGGGGGATGGACAATGGATAAGGGGTAAAGGGAGACATCAGAAAGTGAAAGACATGGAATGATAATAATAATTTACAAATTATCAAGAGGGAGGGGGAAAATGAGGAGCTGATACCAAGGGCTCAAGTAGTAAGAAAAGGTTTTGAAAATTATGATGGCAACAAATGTACAAATGTGCTTGACACAATGGATGGATGTATGGATCGTGATGAGTTGGACAAACACCCAATAAAATTATTTATTTTTTTAAAAATCAGTGCTACAAAACCACAGTGAACAGATGAGTGTGGTTGAAGGCCTCTCAACTGGTTTAGTGAACTTGACGTCAAATGATGGGAACAGCCAGTTGGCTGCCACTAGCTGCTTTGTGGCTGTTGTTTGGATTTGAGCCTCAGTGTTTTTGTTGTGGCCTGGATGTTGAGAAATAAATGGTTAATCGTTGACAATTCACTGTCTAATTCTATAAAAGTTATTCAGCCCATAATCAGGTCAAGTGCTGTAAACAAAACCGAACAAGAATACCTGCAATATCGGACGTGGCAGAGAAGAGAGGAACCCCGAGGACCTTGGAAGAGCGTGGGCAGGCTCTGTCTAACGTGGTGGAGGCCTCTGAGACCAGCTGCAGCTGAGATTTGGGCACGGAGACTCAGAAGAGCAGTGCCAAAACTATGGGGTACCTTCTCCGCATGTGGCAGGACTAAGGAACTGTGGGCCAGAGGGACAGGCTGGCTGCCTTCGTGGCCCAAGGAGACAAAGGGCAAGAGTCCATGTGGTGGAGAGGCTAAAAACCAGAGAGAAATTTGACTGCTGGCTGAGGAGACCAAGACTATATCCTTACTGTTTGCTGATCCTGACTTGTGATAACCTATTGGCTTTCCCAATAAACCCCCTTAATTATGGGGGAAAAAACAACCAACCAACCCTGCAATATCGAATAATTATTGAGAAGCTAGTAAAGATAAAAATCATTTTTACCTATGAAGTTAAAATTCAAAGTTAAGCTCACGAAAAAAGGATTTTGAAGAAATTAACTTGTCAAAGGTGCTTATTTTGCTGGAAAAATGAAAGCCTTCAATAATTTTTTTTAAAGTTTTGATTATATTACTATTATTATCAAGTATTTATATGTGTTATAGATTCGCATATGTAATTTGATACATACACTTTTTTTAAGTAAATAAATGATACTGAAAGTTACTCAACGAATGTAGTTATAAAGTTAAGTCAAATTTAATACCATTTTAATTTTAACTTTTAAATGAGACGTTTAATTTAGTTGTTTCAACCTTGCATTGAAATAAAAGATTATTTACTCTGTGTGTGCATAGAGCACAAATATCATCGACATAGAAAAGCTCTCAACTGTTCATTGGAAGGTTGGCACTTTGGTATCACCAGAGGCTCCACAGAAGATGGTGGTGATCTGCTTGTGCAATGGCTTATAGCCTTAGAAATGTTAGAGGCGCAGATCTACTGTATCTTGTAGTACAGTAGACGGCAATGGGTTTCAAGTCGATTCTGACTCTTAGCTCTGCCACCATGAGCTCAAGCTGAGGAACATGTTGAGGATGGCACAGTGCCGGGCAGTTTTCCTTCTGTGATGCTGTGAGTCGGAGCCGACTGGATGGGAACTAGCAACGGCGACCATGGTGCTCTCACCTACGTGGTTCAGGTCTCGGCTCAAAATACATGCCCTCAAAGCGAACACCCCAGAACTCTCTAACTGCTTACTCTCGTTTCTGTTGGTTTGTTTTAATTTGGGGCTCTGGGGTGATGCCAAGGGAACGTTGGGGGTGTGGTGGATAACACATTTGGCTGATCACCAGCAGGTTGATAGTTCAAAGACACCTGCTGCTTTGTGTGAGAAAATAGGGCTTTCTGTTCCTGTAAAGATTTACCGTCTTAGAAATCCAAAGGGAGCAATTCTACTCTGTTTATAGGGTCTCTATCAGTCGGAATGGACTCATTGGCAGTGAATTTGTTGTTGTTGTTGTTTTTTAATAATTGAATCATTTTATTGGGGGCTTGTACAACTCATCACAATCCACACATACATCCATTGTGTCAAGCACTTTTGTACATTTGTTTCCCTCATCATTCTCAAAACATTTACTTTCTACTTAAGCCCTTAGCATCAGCTCCTCATTTTCCCCCTCCTTCCCCCATCCCCCCTCCCCACTCCCCTTGTTGCTTGTTTTAAGGTGATGTAAACAGCTAATGTTCTCAGTAGTTAAGCATGGAGCTGGTCTCCATGAGTCAGAATTGATGAGCTAGCAACTGTTTTCTTGATTTCATTTATGAGACTGACCACCACATGATAGCACATATCTATGTAGTGATTTTGTTCACCATCTCCCTCCCTCAAGTAGGCTGTAAACTTCATAGAACAGGGTCTTTGGGTGAGTACTCCCAATACCTCAAAACAGTATTTGTTGCATATGTAAATGAAAAAATGAATAAATAAGCAATAAACTCGTCCTAAGTTTGACATTTGGTTGGCGCACTGCTTGATGGCTTCGTTATCATTTTGCAAGGCCATCTGTCCACCTGGAGGTAGTACAGACGCAGGTATCTCCCCCCCCCCACCCCCACCCACTTTATAAATGGCTGACATGATCCAGGACCCTGAGGAAGTAAGCCTCCAGATGGACCCCCTCCCCAGACCCTTCGTCTCTCGCCTTTCCCTATAACCAAAGTTCTCTGGATGACAGCCTTTGAGGGCACTTTCCTCACCTGGCTGCCAAGGGAGAGCCCATCACTGAGTCGCATACCACTGGGATGATTGTGGGCTCTCGCCCAGCCCTGCCTACCCGGTCCTGTTGTCAGACGTGAGTTACTGGGAGCTTGCAGGTCTCATCCAAGCGTGATGACAGTCTTTTGCAGAAAGGTCATGTAAAGCATTTCTTCTGGAAAACGTTGCTCTAATCAACTTCAGCCCTTGCTTTAGCTGTCCTCGAGGTTTCCCAGGAACGATCTGAGCGCACATCCCCAGGGGTTCTGCCCAGGACACCAGAGTACTTTAGCATGAAGGTGCTGGATGAGTTTAGACATTGCTCTGCACATCGTTCTGGGGGCAATCTCAAAGTACCGTGTAATTTCCATCCCCGGGCAGAGGGCCTTGTGTTTATCTATCATGTGAAATGGCAGCAAAGGAAACATATTGATTTTGGAAATGTATACTTTTTTATGGTCTCTAAAGAAATGAAAGGAATCAGAGACTCCATTTGCTATTGCCAGATGGAATACAGTGCAAGAAAAATGTACCAGTGTGTGAACCTGAAGTTTCCGGTCTTAAATCTGACCTATGAATTGTGTTTTTCTTCAGACAAGTGGAAATCCCTGACCATTTAACCAGGGGACTCACGGCCTTGTCCCTTGAATTGGACTTCAACGCTCAAGCCATGCTCATGGCCATGGCTCTTATTTTCTCCTTGTCGCCCACTCTTCTTTCTGCACAGTCAGAAGGTCAGAAGGGGAGAGACCACTCTGATTTCACTCTGGTGGCCTGGCCAATGGGAGTGAAAGCGTGAGCTTTCCCTTGGATGGGAATCCTGTATTCTCTAGGTTACCCCCTCGCTAGTCAGGGACAAGTGATTTCAGAGGGTGGGAAGCAAGGGTAATCAAGAACATGGGCTTCTAGTTTTGATAGCATGAGTTTGCATCTCGACTTTTCTTTTTACTATTACAAAGGTTTAGTTACAACCTATAACCCCCTCCCAGGGGGACAAACAATGGAAAAGTGAGTGAGGGACGACGGAAGATGATGTGAGATATGAAAATAATAATAATCTATAACTTCTCCAGGGTTCTTGAGGAGGACAGGCGGGAGAAGGAGGAGGAAGAAACGGGGAGCTGATACCATGGGAAGAGAGTGCTTGAAAATGAGGATGGCGGCATATGTGCCAATGTGCTTGACACACTGGAGGAATGGATGGATTGTGATAAGAGATATAGGAGCCCCCAATGAAAGTAGTTAATTACAAAAAGTTTATTTAACTAAAAAACTGAACATGAAAAATGTACATGGCCTCATTTTTTTGTATTTTTTTAATTTATTTTATTTTATTTTTTTTTAACATTTTTTAGGGGCTCATACAATTGTTATCCCAATCCATATACACATCAATTGTGTAAAGTGCATTTGTACATCGTTTCTCAAAACATTTTCTCTCCACTTAAACCCCCGACATTAGGTCCTCATTTTTCCCCTCCCTCCCCGCTCCCCCCTCCCTCATGAGCCCTTGATAGTTTATAAATGGGTATTTTGTCATATCTTGCCCTGTCCGACGTCTCCCTTCACCCACTTTTCGGTTGTCTGTCCCCCAGGGAGGAGGTCACACACAGTTCCATGTAATCAGTTCCCTCTTTCCTACCCATTCTTCCTTTACCCTCCCTGTTTTGCCACTCACACCACTGGTCCTATAGGGCTCATCCGTCCTGGATTCCCTGTATTTTCAGTTCCTATCTGTGCCAGTGTACCTCCTCTGGTCTAGCCAGACTTGCAAGATAGAATTCGAGTCATGGTAGTGGGAGTGGGGAGGAAGCATTTAGGAACTAGAGGAAAGTTGTATTTCTCATCATTGCTACATCGCACCCTGACTGGCTCATCTCCTCCCCGAGACCCCTCTGCAAGAGGATCTCCAGTCATGGCCTCATTTTTACACTGTAGTAAAACAGGTCCTTTGGAGAGCGGGGTACATAGAAGCAACTGCTGTAGACTGTTGAACATGGCTGTTACTTATCCTCACGCTAAGGCTTCTAACACGATGCTATTGCCTCTTGTCAACACCATTCCAGTATTGTTCTGTTGTCCACCAGTTGCCGTCTCCACGCATTCATCTACCACAAGATTCATAAAGGGATCACGTCCCTGAACTATCCCTTGGACATGCCTGTCACCATTGAATTTCAATGATAACTTCTTCCTCATATAGTTTTTCAACCCGGGTGGATGAGCTTTGCTCATTGTGCCTTGAATTTCAACATTGCTCCCTATTCTGTGGTCACGGACAGTTGCCTCTACCTCTCTGAATTTAGTTTCTTCTTCTGTAAAGTTATGTTTGCTGCATGGCTGTGACAATGAGTGGACTCACAAAATGCTTATAGCACAGCTGTGGCACAGCTTCTAGTATGAGAGATATCTGATGATTGTTCTAATCATTGTCATCGATGTCATCATGTGTAAATCAGTGGCTGTGGTATACGCTTAAGCCACACAGTTAGTTAGTGATGGAATCTAAAGAGCCCATCTCCTTGTTCCCAGCTAAATAATTTTTCTATTATGTCCAAACAGGTAGCTTTGGAAGGTGGGGCAAGAAGTTAACTAAATAAGGGTAGGATGATGATGAGGATGTCAGTGATGGAGGTGGCCACTTGAAGCACAGCCTTCGTGAGAATAGTGGCTCTCCCCCTTGGTTGCATGTTATGCTCATCTGGGTAGTTAAAATGCAGTAATGATGAATCTGCAGAACATCTCACGTATGGATAAACCCGGAGGGCCTATGCTGCGTGAAACTACTAATCACAAAAGGGACAGATATTGTACGAGGTCAATATTGTCCAAAGTCAAGACATGATTTTCACACTTATACTCTTTCTATATTGTCTAAAGAGAGGGCTGGAATTTTCTGTAGAGACTCCAGAGCCCTTTGTGGGTCTGCATATTAGTGAAATGAACCTAAATCTCTCGCCTCCGGGGAATAGAAACTCATAATTGTTTTGTTTCTAATCTTTTAACTGTGAATTGAGTGAAGGTTCATGGAGCAGATCATCAGTTTGACATTCAAGAATTCATGCACACATTGCTTTATCTCATTCATTGCGATCCCCTTAGTACAGCACCACTCATCCCCCTCCGCCCTGTGTTTCCCACCCCCACTCCCTCTCTCTACCCCTTCTGAATCTGTCCTTGGAAAATTGCTGCCCCTTTGATGTCAAATGGTTGATGGTTCTAAGGGGTGAATACCTCCCCAGTGTTACTGTTCCGCTTACAGACCTGTCTGATAGCTGGTTGAAGATGGAGCCACAGAGGTGAGTTCAGTTCCACACCTGAGAGCTTGAGCTCGGGGGCATTGTTGTGGCAGTTGGATTTTATGTCAACTTGAACCTGTGTGGAAGTGTGGGGGTGGAGCCTAACCCATCAATTAGGTACAGCCTTGCGCTGCTTCCTTGGGAGTGTGGTCTTTTTATTAGAGACACACTGAGGACTTTTCTCTCTCTTGCGCTTCACTCTTCCTCCTTGCTGGAATTCTGTGTCCGCCTCAGGTGGCAGCCCACAAAGGGAGCGCTGTATGTAGGCCCCCTGCCATGCTCCCACTGACGTTACATCCACACAACTCTGCACCCACGGCCCTCGGATCTCCCTGCTTCCCGTTTCACTTTTCTGCTTCATCAGCCTGCAGCTACATGAGTCTGAAGAGGGCTCTGGCTGCAATCAGACCCATGAACTTGAGTTGGACTAGGCTGGGATCCTTTCTTGATACACAAAGTACTTCTTGACACAAAGTTCTTTCTTATCCATATCATTCAGATAGATAGATAGATAGATAGATAGATAGATAGATAGATAGATAGATAGATGGATGTCATAACTCAGCCTGACACATTTGCCCAGGTAATTTACCTGATCTTCCCAAATCTTGTGTCTTTGTGGTAAAAATGAAGTTCTCCTCTGAGTCGCTGTGAGTCGGAGGTGGGGTAATACACCTGGGTGATGGCAGGCATGAAGCATGGCTGTGGAAGAACAGAAGAAGAAGAGACGGATGTGTGGGGGCCTGAAGTGCAGGGCAGGAATCCCACACAGACTGGGGCCACACAGACCACGAAAGGCTCTGGGGCTCGGAGGAGTGTGGTCTCTCCAGAGTGGCAGCGGAAGCCCTCGGCAGTAGGGGGAAAGGTTGGAGGGTTACCAGACAGAGGTTTTAGGCACTGCTTGGAGGATGGTCTCCAAGGAAGGAGGGAGGCTGGTACCGAGGGCTTGTGGGTGTCGGGTGCCACCAAGCTGCTTCCTTCTCGCAGCAGCCTGTGTACAACAGCACAGACCCCTGCTCGGCCCTGAGCCGTCCTCAGGATCCTTCTGACGCTCGAGTCCATGGTCACAGCCCCTGTGTCCAAGCAGCTCATCCAGGGCCTTCCTCTTTTGGCTGCCCTCCACTCTGCCACGCATGATGTCCTTCTCCAGGGACAGGTCTCTCCTGACAACATGGCCGAAGGAGGTAAGACGACTATCATCATCCCTGCTTCGAAGGAGCACTCGCTGTACTTCTGCTAAGACGGATGTTATCGCCCTTCTGGCAATCCATGGGACTTTCCGTGGTCTTTGCCGACGCCAACATTGCAAGGTTCACCAGCGGGAGGGAGAGTAAAGGTAGTTGGTCCAGATCATGCAGGGGCATGTGAGTGAATGGCAAGGAGGAGTGGAGGCTGTCCTGGAGCTGTCCCAGGCAGGGAGGAAAGATGGAGAGGATGAGGTAAGGCTCAGTGTCATCCTTAAAGGGGTGCAGGGGGTACAGACCGTACTGAGTCACGCTGTCAGAGGGGGTGATGCCAAAAGGGCTGTCCATAAAATTTTGGTCAGTATTTCCATAGAAAGTTACTATTTTTTACTAAAATATCCCTGTAGGTAGTTACAATAGCAAAAAAATTTTTTTGTAAACCCAATATACTGATAAGTTTAAAACTCTATGCTAATTTACTTTTTCAACCGTCTACAGTCCTGGTTGCATAGTGAGTTATGTATTGGGCTGCTAACCTTAAAGTTGGAGGTTCAAAACCACCAGCTGCTCCTTGGGAGAAAAAAGGAGGCTTTCTGCTCCCATAACAATTCACAACCCTGAAAACCCACGGGAGCTGTTCTGCTCGGTCCTGCAGGGTGATTGTGAGTCAGAATCCACTCAATGGCAGCATGTTATTTATTTATTTTGATTGTGTGTGTGGTCAGAGCTCTCATTCTTACCCAATTGCAATGAGGTAGTTAGTTTATTGTGCCAACCTGGCTGATAAACACATGTGGGGTTAATTGAAGGGCAGAGGGATAAATGGCTCGGTGAGCCTCGCCTTTCTAGTTCTTGGGTCTCTTGCTTTCTGATGGTCATACAAGGGTGCAGCTGCCTTAGCCAGTTCCCTGCTTTAGCTGGCAAGGCTCACTTCCTATAAGATATCCCTGAGGAGAAGTCACATGGACCTACCCTGATGCAGCCCTGGGTGCTGGAGAAGCCGTGTGGAGACCCCTGCCAGCACTGAGATGTTTACACATTCACTGACTCAGCTTTCCTCCTGCAGTCAGCATCATAGTGTATGTTTTGTGAGATGGAGGAGGATTTTGTGGATTAGTGTTGGACATATGGGTTAATGAGTTAATGTTAGACTTGTGGGCTTGGGCAGCACTGGGTTGTGATATTTTCTTGATGTGAACTTACCCTTTATATAAAACTCTCTCTTATACATGTGGATTTTATATTCTGTGGATTTGTTTCTCTAAATTACCCAGACTAACACATGCAAGGATGCTCTGAATGACGTAATTGTGTCTGGATGTACTACAAATATGCAGTTCTCCCTCCCTGTATTTTCTTAGTCACTGATTGTGGGAAGTAGTGTTTGTGAGCCTGGATGAACGGGTTGTTTGAGAAGGACGGGCTAGCTACAGGAAAAGGAGAAAATGTTTTTAAGAGGCTGCTGCTCAATCACTAATAGCTAACTGATAATGTTGTGATTCGACTGGAAGTATTTCGCCCAACAATTGCGTCCCTTGGGTTAGGCATTGGGCACGGCCAGGGATTCAAACCCAACAGCTGACCCTCAAGAGTGAGAGGAAGCCGTCTGCTCCTGAAAAGATTTGCAGTCTCAGAAACCCTACATGGGTTGCTTGCTATGAGTTGGAATAGATTTTATGGCAGTGGGGTTGGCGGGTATTCATATGATTTTAAAAAATAGCACATTTAAGCAGCTTATATCTATAATGATCACATATCCCTCTGTGATTAAAACTGATACTGAACATTACAAGGCTTCTGTGTGGTCTGCTGCAGGAGAAGATCCCTGGGGCTGGCGTGGGACAATACGACTTACTGCGCTGGATGGTGGTGTCACTAGAGGTGATGTAAGGCTCCACCTCCTTCCACAGGCTTATGGACACGTGACAGGCTTTGGCAGGTGACAGAAGTGCCAGCAGACTATCATTAGAAAGACTCTGCTCAGCCCTCCTGCCTGCCCCCTCCCCAGTTTCTTGGATAAGGATGTGTATAGACGAAGAATGAGGGCTGGGGAGGTTGCCTGGGTTTACGGTACTTTCCGATCTGTCAATTACTGCCCTTGTGAGTTGCCGCTGAGTCAGTTTCCACTCGGGTGACCTTTTCTGTTTGGAGCAGGGCTGCTCCACAGAGTTTTCCAGGCTGCGGCCTTTCAGAAGTAGGTCACTGGTCTTGGCTTCCCAGGCAACCCTGAGCCTTTTGGCTAAAGTACTGGAGGGGCCTTTGGATGGTGTGTTAGACAGGGTTCTCTAGAGAGATAAAACCAAATTCCTGATAATATAATATATTTATTTATAAAGATAATATATAACGAAAAATGAAATGTTAAATCATAAAGATAATTAGATATATAACGAGAAATGAAATGTTAGATCATATACAGAGAAATACAATACAAGAAATAAACAGTTAAATTAGAAGCACCATAAATGGCTTAGTGCAACTCACGTCCGTGAGAGAAAGTTGAGAGACTAGCAGTCCCTGAAGTCTCTATCTGATGCTAGATCTTCCTCTATTTGTAGAGAGAGCTAGGTTATGTCAGCACAGCAGCCAATCACAAGGCAGGTCACCAATCGCCAGTCCCCAGCTCCAGAGAAGTCTTAAAGGGACCTCAACTTACAGCAACACAGTCCACAGGCTAGGCGTCCCACAGGCTGTGTAGCCTTTAAATTGAGGCACAGAACAAGCAAGGCAGCCGCACACTGGTCCGATGATC